CACACTCTCACAAGTGCCCTGTTTAACCCAAAATCTGAATCAGGCCAAGGGTAACAGAAAGCACTCAAACTATCCACCCTGGCTTTACCAGTGTTCAGTGTTGAGATGGGGTATTCCACAAAACTATTGTAGGTATCCTCATGATATATAAAATTACTCAATTGCCTGATCCAGACTGTACCATTCCATGGATTATCATCGAAAAACCACACCAGGGAAGTGACTGCTCACTTTTTTTGGCTTGTGCTTGCCGGCTTTTAAAAATAGGGTTTCTTGGTCACTTATTGCACTGCCTTCAGTAAAAGAACTTTCTGGCAGGTGTCTGATGGGGATCTAGGCACTTCTCCATGTCTTCCCAATGGCAATTGCTCCCCCCCCCCCCCATTTCAAGTGGAGCACTGAAAACCATTGTGACCTACTAATTTCTAGTGGCTGGGACAGTAGACTTTGGAGAATTTCCCACTGATGGGGCTCAGCACAATATGGTGAGAAGTGGGGAGGTGGTGGCGACACTGTCATTGTAGTGCAGGACAACCTTCAAGTAGCTAGTGTCCCCTTTTCCTGCAGTCTAAATATGTTCAGTTGAGGTGAGCATAACTCTTACAGTCTGATCGTGTTCTAACCTTACTACACATATTAGTTCAATGTCTACTTGTGTGCAAGTGCTTGCATGGTCATGTTCACATTCCACCTATCCTTGCGACACTTGGGCCTTTGTGTTCTGGATGAAGAGTATACACTGGTTGAGATGAGATGTAGTCTTCCATGGGTGTGACCCTATGGAGCTCCTGTCATCGGGTGTCACACTCCATACTTTTCTGTTTGGGCACTTTCTGAAGGGAGCTCATCTAGGTTTAATTCTGCACCATTGCCTTCCCCAATTCAGTGTGGGATTCTAGCTATTCTTTGTGCTCAGGTGAGGTTTTGTCTCAGACATTAACCTTTTTTGTAATTTGAAAACGTATTTCCAATAGATACTCACCTCTTGCAAATTCCCACCTGACCTCCCTACTTCAGGTTCACTTTCTTCTTACCTTGTTTAAGAATGAACTTATTTTGGAGTGTAAGTGCTTAAAGGAAGTTACTGTGCATAGGTTGTATCACCATCTTATTGGTGGAGGGCTATTGTCACATGTTGATGTTATCATGCACAAGCACATAAATTTGAGGTGGGAGTTAGCCCAAGGCTAATGCCATGTAAATCTCATAGGCAGACATGTGAGGAATATTCTGTGTGTGTGTGTGTGTGTGTGTGTTGAGGTGAGTATCTATCTTAAATACATTTTCAGATTAGGAAATTTTAAGTCTGGTTGTAAGTTTGTTGTTCCTGTGGTCTGGTTGGACTTTGAGACTCATCCTTAGATTATTGTCTCCTTGGTTTATTATCAACTGTTGATTAATCACATTCTCTGCTGTAATGGCCATTTTTTCCACATTTATAACAGTTACCTTTTCACATATCCTACAGGCTTTTATCTATAATTTCTCACAATATACCTTTTAAAGTTACACTTGAAACACCTATTGTTTTATGGTTTATTTTGTCCATTCTCTTTAGCTAGTTCTCTGACTAATCCTTACAGTTCTTCTGCACTATCATCAGGTGGAGCTAACATTTCAATACTACTCAAACTATCGATCATGTAACTTCTAAATGATGTATTTAATAGTTTATCTGGAACTTTAATGGATTCAAGTTCCATTGCCAACTGGAGATATTCCTTTAAAGATGTACAGCTAATTAATTTCAGCTTAATTTGCATATCCTTGTTATTGTTATTTGTTAAGTAGTCATGCTCTAATTAATCCATCATTTGACATGGATTATCTGAGTAAGATAATTGGGAAAGCCTTTTCAAATCTTCTGCAAGTTTGGCTAAGGTCTCATATTTTCTCTCTACCTTGTTCTGGAACATTGCTCTGGATATTTACTTCTAATGTGTCATTCCAAACTTGTTGTGTAAGGGAGCTAGCAATGCCTGATAGTTATTAAAGCTCTCAGCTGGAATGTTGCTTATGGTTGTTAAAGGTGATCATCTTAAATGGCAGCAAGATGAATAGCTTGTTGTTCACTGTTCCACCTATTACTCTAGAAATTATTGTGAACTGATATATCTTCCATAGTACCTTTCCATCATAGTCTGTTAGTTTCTTGATTAGATGATGATGTTAACTGGCCAACTAAATTCTGGAAGTTGATTTGGTAGTATCATGGCTGGAATAGTCAGGGAAAGTCCTGCAATCACAGATGGCACAGCAGTAATGGTAAACTGGCATAGACCAAATAGCTTCTCTTATTCCACATTTAATAATAAATGGGGTTTGAAGTTGGAATTCATGGTTAGGTGTAGAAAGAGAGGTGGTTGGTTTGATATTTGAAGTTGCCAATTAATTTTTTTAAATGTTCTATTCTGTCATTGGTGCTATTTTCTACCTCATTGATCTTGCTGGTATAATATTTCTGCACATTATATTTGTCCTATTGTACTTTTCTTTTACTTCATTGGTGTTCTTTTGTACTTCCTCAGTTTTGCCATTACAGTCTTTCTGTACTTCTTCAATCATATTATTGTAATTCCTCTGTACATATATAATAGCTTCATCTATCATGTCTTCAATCAGTTTTATTTTTGCTCTTAATTCTTCTTTAATTATTATATCTCTTTCTTTTAACTCTTCTTTTAAATTCCCATCCCTTACATCTTGATCTTCTGTTAATTTTTCAAATAAATCTCTTTTTGGTCTTCTGTTAATTAATGTGTTTTATTCTCTAATTTTAAGTCTCTTCTTCTTGTTTGTCTTTGAATTGTCTTGTTTTTCTCTAAATTTTCCATCTTTTTCTTTTTGATATTTTTTTAATGCTCTCTCTCTCTGTTTGGTTTTTTTCCAATGTTTCATTACATCTAGCAAATATTTGATCTCACTTCGTGCTTTTGTTATCATCTTGAAGATTTAGTCAAAGTTCTATTTTATTTTCACCAAAATACTCCCACTTTTGACACTGGTGTTATAACATGTTCTATCATTGGGTGGGTTCTTTTGCATTATTTGGTAAAAATAATGTGGAGATAAGTACATATAATGATCACAGATAAATATATTTCTTCAATAACATTTGCTACACACTACATCCACTGGTAGGGCTAACAAACAGAAGTTTTGAAACTAATCTACAGATATTTTTTGTTGTATTTCAAGATTTGTAGTGCATACATGAGGGATTTTGATAAAAAAAAAGCTGAAAAGCAAATGACCTTTAAACTCCAGACAATTATAAAAGAACCTTTTATTTTAACCAAAGTTTTGTGTTTGTGGCTTCATCAGGGTTAGTACATACAGCTATACATAAAAAAACAAAGATTCAGATTGACTTACTGTTTACCTTACTAACTGAATCGCTGTCTTACCTCACTACCTGACACTGAACTGAATAACTCCTTAACCAAATAATTTACTAATTAACTAACTCACTCAATATGGCATTTTTAGATCATTAATTGTTTTCTACTTACTACGTGAAGCTTCGAAATGTTGTGTCATCATTACATAATAACAAGCACTCTCTAGCAAATATTGAAATTAAGATATTGTTACGTCTCCGTTTGTTAATTAACTTTCCGTAACTTCGTTCCGACGAAACTTAAGCGAC